TAGCAAGATTGGGCGAAATTGTAGTAGCGAATTAGAGTTTCCTAAACAGTAGCTATAACATTTAATATGTTAAATGCTTGCTATTCTGTACAATTTTTCCTATAAATTACTTATGGAAAAATTACAAGAATATACTATTTAAGACCTTAATTTACCTAATATTATTTTAATTTTTTTATTTACAACATTAACATTTTAATTACAAATATGACATTTTATTATAAATTTAAAATCTACACGATTTTATGTCCTATTTTTATTGGTTAGTGGACTAAATTTTTGGGAGTCATATTTTATCTTTTATTTTAATTAATTTTTAGTAATCTCAAATCACAATTATATTTGGATACGTTTTCTTTAATAAATAACTTACTTTCTCTTCCATGTTAACCTTACACGGAAGAAATACCATTGATGTACTCTTTTTTCCTTGGTAAACGCATTGCTGCACACATTTTTTTCATCTTTTTCAAGAAAAAGTTTTGAAACTCCTTCTTGAAAATATTTCTCTTTGTTTCTTTTAAAAATCATCTCTTACAACACAATTATTTTTTTACTCTTTGAATAAATCGATTATGAGTAAGAAAGATGCTTTTGATAATGCTCCCGGAAAGAGTCCTCGTTTGATGAAGATTTATATCGATGTCAAGAGCCTGATTGTTTGTTCAAAATAAAAAAATTGCAACTGTTAATTTGAAGAAGATCCGCATTATCATAGTTAATATGATTTGTATCATGTGGTCCATAAATTATCGGAAAAATTTTTAAACACATTTTTTTGTGTACACTTTGGTGGTCGATTTGGTACAATTATTGATGATATGTTATTTTAAATAGTGATATGTATTAGGGAATATACTTTGGTAGCTGATCCAATACAATAATTGGTGATTTGTTGGTTATTAACCGTAATATGTTTTAGTGTATATATTTTGATGGATGGTATAGTTAAAATATTGGTAATTTGTTGATTTCAATTTGATGGATGGTGGTCGATTTAGTACAATTATGGATGATATGTTATTTTAAATAGTGATATGTATTAGGGAATATACTTTGGTAGCTGATCCAATACAATAATTGGTGATTTGTTGGTTATTAACCGTAATATGTTTTAGTGTATATATTTTGATGGATGGTATAGTTAAAATATTGGTAATTTGTTGATTTCAATTTAATGGATGGTGTGATTAATTTTTTGGCGATATATCAATATAGAACAATAAAAGAAATTGATGGTAATGTTGATTTTAGTTATATGTTCCAAACCTGGAATGCATAACACCATAATCTAATCAAGTATATACCAACTTTTTAGAATCATCAAATTAATTTACATGGTGTACAATGTGGTGTAACCTTTGTGTCAAGTTCTAAATTTTAATAACTATAACAACTAAAATAATTGGTGAATTTGTTGGTTAAAAAATAATGGTAATTTGTTGATTTAAAGTTGCAATATGTTATAGTATATATATACTTTGGTGTAAGGTATGACTAATATTTTGGTGATATGTTGGTTTAGAACTATAAAAGATATTGATTTATAATTGATGGAAAAGTTGATTTTAGTTATGTTACAACCCTATAATACGTAATACCATAGTCTAATCAAGTATATATCAATTTTTTAGTATCATTAAATTAATTTACATGGTCTACAATATGATTTAACTTTGGTGTCAAATTTAAATAAATCTAATTTAATTTTACCATAATGAATGAATTATACCAAATAACCAAATAAATTAAAATATATAAATCCATACATTGATGATAAATTTATTATTGGTTATATGTTCCAACTACATTGGTGTAAAAAAAGATTTAAAACAAAAAAAATTTGAAAGGGAGAGAACTAAAGAAAAACAAAGAAATTTTTCAGAAAATAAAATGAGGTATATAAAAAGATAAAAAGAGGAGAAAGAGACGAGTGAAGAGAGTTTAGAAAAAAAAGGGTGGAGAGAAAAAGAGAATCAGTTTGCTTAGTATTTTAAGAAGAAGATTAGAAAAGGGGAGGAAAATAAGGAAATAAAAATATTGAGGGATTAATTATTGAGTGATTTGTGGAAGGTAAATAACAAAATAAGAGAAAAATAAGGAATGAAATCTTATTTAATATAGGAACGTGTATTGTTGTATTATTTATACCAATTTATTTCTTATTTATTTTTTATTTATTTTGTTTTTGTAAAAAAACTATTGCTATATAGATGAAAAGTTAAATTATTGTTATATAAGGGTTATTTAGGTGCTTAAATTGTACATTTAAGTTTTTCACCCATTACTTATTCTGCCACCCCTAAACAGAGAAGATGAACGCATATTGTATTCGTATGAATACAAAAACAAATATGATTTTTCGAACACAATTGATATAAAATATAAATCTCACCTTATTTGATTGAATACAATGCTACATAATATATTTGAATAGATTTCTTATTAATGCCGACGAGAGAGAGGGGCAAGGGAGAAAATTTGCTATAAAAATAACATAATATCATTTTGTAATTTTTTAAAATTATAGCTATTTTCTATAAATATATTGACCTTATTCCATAGTTTCTCTTAAATTTTAACTGTACCAGGGTAAACATTATCCTAATCTAGCACTTGCTGTTGTTCACTTATAATCTCCGTATACTTAGGGCATGTTTGGATTGACTTTTGGCTTATAAGCCAAAAGCCATAAGTTAGGATTTCTAACTTACGGCTTTGGCTTATTTTGTTATTTTGGCATTAAAATAAGTGCTTATAAGCACTTTTTAACTTTACCCAAAATTTTCAAAACTACTTAAAAGCTATTTTGGCTTAAAAGCACCTAAAATAAGTCAATCCAAACGGGCACTTACTTCCCTTTCCTCTCCCTACTTGGTTAAAATCTTATGTGATACTTTTTAGGCAGAATGGTCTGGTAGACCCTTGTACTTGTTTCATTTTGTCACCTGAGCCCTTCTAATCTAGACTTTGCCAACTGAACCCTCGAACCCATTGAAATTCAACATTTTAAACCCTTTTTTTGACCACTCAGTGGTGCGTGAACAACAAACGCCACACGTAGCTTTCCACGTCATTTATAAATGCCACATAGGATTGACATGTTAAAAATAGGCTAATCCTTTTCTTTCAAACATTTCTTTCCTTTCTCCTTTTCAACTAGACCCTTTTACTCCCTTAATCCTGATTTACATTGTTGCTCACTGCGATTTTTTTCAATTTTGTTAAGTGTTTGAGTTCGCGTTTCACTCCATAGTTGTAAGTTTCTTGACTGATTTTCATTCTTTTTGTTTTGCAGTTGTGTTTTTGGTGTTTCATTTTGAATTTTGTTGTTTTGAGTTCTTGTTAGGGCTTTGTAACAATTTGTAGAAGTATTATGCATTCAATGGCATTTGTCGTGAATATCTGTTGAATCTAGGGTTTTTTCGTATATGAATTTTTTATTTTTTTATCAATTGCGTTGGATTTCTTTCTTGTTAGTAGTCCAATTGGATTATATCAGATTATTATAGAGGTTTTTGTTGTATTCCATAAAGAATTAGTTTAAAATAAGGTTTTCTTTTGTCGATTAGGGCTTTTTTGTCATTTAGGGATTTTTGTCAATCATCTGATTGTATTCTCGTGACTTTGCAGGCATGGTAAGAATATGGGTTCAATAATTATTACACTTCAAATGTATTATGGGGGGCTGTTTTTTATCAGATCCTGAACTCAAGTATGCTAATGGAATTTTTGATCTTGAAAAAATAAGAATCGATATGGATGAGCTTCATATTATGTTTTTTCATAATTTAGCTAGAGAATTGGGAGTTGAAAAAGTTGAAACCTTTGGGTGCAAAATTAATAAAAGAGGTGGTTTTTATATGTTGAAAAGTGATGTTGATGTGTTGAGATTTATTAACAACTTAAAGGGTGGGGACTTTGTTGATGTGTATATGGTACATCAAATTAGTACTCCTTTAATTGTTGAGGATCCTACTGAGGTGCAAATAGCCAAATTGCTTACTCCCAAAAAAGGTAAGCCCTCCCCCCCCACCTACTGTTATAAATGTTAGGGCTGATGCCATTGAATGCATAATACTTCTACAAATTGTTATTAGGCTTGTTATTAGGCATGTAAAAATCAAAATCCTCCCTAAAATCACACCACGACCTCTGCAACAACTAAGCCCCTAACAAGAACTCAAAACAACAAAATTCAAAATTAAACACCAAAAACACAACTGCAAAACAAAGAGAATGAAATCAGTCAAGAAATTTACAACTATGGAGTGAAACACGAACTCAAACACTTCACAAAATTGAAAAAAATCGCAGTGTGCAACAATGTAAATCAGGATTAAGGGAGTAGAAGGGTCTAGTTGAAAAGGAGAAAGGAAAGAAATGTTTAAAAGAAAAGGATTAGCCTATTTTTAACATGTTATTCATATTCTATGTGGCATTTTTAAATGACGTGGAAAGCTATGTGTGGCGTTTGTAGTTCACGCATCACTGAGTGGTCAAAAAAATGGTTTAAAATATTGAATTTCAGTGGGTTCGAGGGTTCAGTTGGCAAAGTCTAGATTAGAAGGGCTCAGGTGACAAAATGAGACAAGTACAAGGACCTCCTAGACCATTCTGCCTACTTTTTATTATTATTTCTTCTTACAAGAACAACTTTTTAATTATTTGATAATAATACATCATTATTATTGTAATTATAGAAACCTCATGATAATTTTTAAATTATTTTCAAAATTGTATCGAGTCAAACATTATTACGTAACTAAGTCAGAGGGGCTTGTTGCATACTCTAGAGAGGTGGCTAGTGACCATTTCAAAACCCTAAAATATGGAGGTGTTCCTGTGAAGGAAAATATTTGTTAGAAAAATATGTGGATTTTTTAATTTACTTATTTTTTGGTGTTCCCTATATAAATAAAAAATATTACTCTTAAAGTATTTGTATATTTCTATTCTATTATATAGAAAGGTGAAGACAACCAACGACCAAGGGCAAAATAGTAAATTTAACCTGACAAATACACTCTCTCCATAATTCTAGAACACTCCATCTTCCTCATTAGCACGAAATAGACACAATATTTTCAACACAAGAATCAGTTCTTCGATTTCTCTTCTTCCATTTCGCTTTGGTTCTTCTGTCAGTTCTTTTTATCTTTCCCGTCGTCTCTATTTTTCTATTTTTCAGCCTCCCCATTCTCACTCTTGGTGTAGATTAGGAAAAATTATCTACTTTGTCTCAATTTCTTAGGTGTAGATTAGGAAAAATTCAATGAGAATACAGAAAAACTCTGTGAGCAAAATTCTCGAAGGTTAGTATTATATGACAGCCGATAGTCGTTTTCGACGATTTCCCTCACCTTCATAAGTCTTTTAGAGATTTTACAGCATTTTCCTTTTTGTGATTCATTATTTTCTGTCTTTTACATATTCTCATCTTATTTAACTATTTTTGATCGATTATATTTTGTTTTGTTCATTTGATTCTTAGTTAAGTTGTATTGTTAATATGTATTTCTCAATGTTAATGCGTTAACATCGAGATGCAACACATATATTGAGAATCTGGAGCATAGCACAAACATTGGTCCTAATTGAGAAAAAAGCAAAAGAAAAAGGGTATCAGGAGAGGAACATCTACCCAAAGTGATGTAGACTTGGTAGCTGTACATTAGTTAGGTATCGACCAATATCGAACATCTATTGCAATGTCTATTTTGATGAAGTAATCGATTTTTATAGAAAGCACATCGAGAAGCTAAGATGCAATTTGATCAATATTGAACATCTACTGCAGATTTTTATATAGCTTTTAATTGGGTTACAGCTCCTCTCGTGGTGTCATACAGATAGGAGTGTGTATGTGTGCTCTTAGTACAGAACTTATATGAGCATTTGTTTATATGTTTGTGCTTGACTCACTGGCTAGATTGCGCATGTACAGGTTTACCACTATAGATTATATTTAATTCGTCAATATGCATAAATCCTATTTACCTACAAGCTTTGGAGTTCATCAACTGGTATCTAATTTTCAGTGTTATCTCTACGTTTAAATTGCACTTGCAGAATAAGTTGCATACTTTTTTTTGATGTGATGATGGGGCAAAGACAAACAAAGACGTGCTTTTAAGTTATGAACACCAAAAAGCTCAATTATCTGAGCACCGGTGACGTAGAGAAGGAAGCAACATGTGTTGATCAATCTGAAACCATAGAAAAAATTCAACCATACATGCCATCAAAAGAGTTGTAAAAGGTCAGTCTACTTGTGATTGTAGAATAAATGACTATGCTTTGAACATTAAAGTTTTAATGAGCTCTGACTTTTGCAAAACATGAATACTGGAGAAAGTTTCCAATTCAAACGAACGAAGTGTGAATAATATCTAAGAGATTGGCCTGGTTCGTTTACAATTAGAAAAGAAATCTCATGCCGCCAATTCATTATGTTCATTTCACGACACATGCTCAATCTTTATCTTTGTGTGGACATCTTCTTTCAACTTTCACTTCTCCATGCTACTGCTACTTTGTTGCTGGAGTTTGGGGTTTCTCTTACATATCTCATGGACACTTCTCTAAGAGGTCTCAAAAGATCAGTAAGGGATGTCGTTTTATATATTTTGAGGGATTTAGATTAGTTTAGTTGCATAGAAGCAGGGGTTTTACCCTGTGCGTACCCAAAGGGTAGCGGCTGTGGGTTTTTCTTTTCATAAAAAAAAAAATTATTCTCCAAGGCTTCATCAATGTTCATTATTTTACTACTGAATTCTGAGTATTATAGAAAATGCCCGATTTTGTTATGGCTATACTTGAAGTTTTTGCACAGTTTATCTCGCTTGTGCCTTGTTATTCTTCTTCTTTTGGACATGCATATCAATAATTGTGTTTGATTTTTTATTTTACACATCAGTTTGGCAAAGTATTTCTAATCATTAGTTATATCGCTAGAGCATATATATTGAATGTGTATCTGGTATGGATTTATTATCCTTCGATCCAAGTAGCTCACCTGAATGTATTCTTTTATACTTTTGTTTTGCTTGATATTGTAAATGAAATAACCAAATTAGGACAGAGGGGAACATTTTCCAACCAAATATAAAGAGTAGATTTCTAGCTAATACAAATATTGTGCTTGGCAGAGTATAACCAAAAGAAATAGACTCAAGGATTCATATATCATGATAAAACTACCATCTAAACATAATAATTGGGGGATTTAGAGGTGTTGAACCCTTTAATTCAGATTGTTGGAGTACAAATATAAACACAATATGAGCTCTTCCTTGTCATAATATGTTCATTAGGTGCCACTGCATCTCTTACTTATCTATTTAACAATAATATCTACTACTGGCTGCTATAAGTATGGTCAACACTGTCCCAAAAGATTTAGTTTGGTTGTTTAGTTTCATAAAACAAACAATTGTCAGTCGTGCCTCCGGCATGACACATTCTAAATTTTAAAGGGTCAATCATATGTATTAGAGCTTAGATAAAGCTCTATTTAAGATGAAATGTCATTTTTGAGCATATCTAAATTTAGTGTCTGAACATTGTTGTCTTACGAATGAATATCTGCTATTTTTCTTGAACTAATTGGATATTTTATGTAATACTACTGATAAGTAATATTTTTCTCCAATGACCCCAGTACTTGAAATCGAGCTTCATGATGCATCACGGGATAAACAACTGCTTCAATCACAACAGCTACCTAAAACAGCTATACATAGAGGCGTTGACTCTTGCAGCATTCAGAAAATACATTGTCTTTGTCTGAAGTTGAGAGTCATGACAAAAACGAAAGTGTTCTTCCAACTTCTGATCCTTAGTTAGCCAAATGAAAATCATAAGTTAAATTTTCACGTAATGTTGCTTCTGTGTATATAGGTATACCTTCATTCATAAATTGATTTACTGTCATTTATATATTTCTCTACTATCATTTTGTAGGACATGCTTCTGCGGCTACAAAAACAACTGCTTACACCTCTTATCTTTGGATTAGGTGAGTTGGTGGAATTGAAAATTTCTTATAATCTAATAAATTTTATGTCTAAACATTGCGTGTCAGAATACCAAGATCAACATCAAGTAGCCACCAACAAATCCCACTCTTCTCGACAACTTGGTGATGGAGGTTATGAAACTGTGTACCATGATAAGAAAGAATTTCTACCACTTTTTATAGTTGTGGCTGATTTTATAAGTAATGAATCGGTTGGTTGAAAAAGTACCTCTTTTATAATTCGTATACATTTGTAGTTGTGATTTGTGAATTTGATATAGTCTTTGGATACACACGAAAAAAAAAGTAATTTCATAATAAATTAGTTGTCTTATATTCGGCAAGGTTGTTTTTATGTGCTTATATATTATTTTGATATAAAAGGACGACTTTCACTTTCCTTTTGAACCAACTCTAACTGAGCTAGAAAGGTAAATGAACTCTACCTTTGAATAGTACCACATGCATTTCTTTCTACAATATTTCCTGCTCAACATATTTTATATACTTGAGAAAAATTATTCTTACCTTAAGTTAAAAAGAATCAATATAAGTGTGATTAATATGATATCTGCAATTACACTCTTTTTCGTTTGGTTGATTATTTTAGAATCTTTGATGCAATTTTTTTTTTTTAAAATCCAATTTATTTGAACTAATGGTTGATGGGTATCTCAAACGTTAGCCTGGTCTCTTAACTTCTCGGAAGGAAACTCCCGAGGAGTTTAAAGTTTCATAATTGAAAAAATACTTGCACTTTTTGTACCTACTTTTCCTTGTAATGTCTCCATGAGTTTTCAATACAAATGTCATACCTTCAATGCAGGATTGCTTAAATTACTCATCAACCTTTAGAGAAAAAAGCAAACAGAAAATGAAGAGCGCAGTAGTTTGTTTGATCACTACTTATACGATATATATGTATATAACTTCTTGATTTCTTTGTGAGATGAGGGAATAAATGATTGACTTGAGTGATACCTTCAACATTTTTTCATGGAGTAATTAAATTGAAATTGAGCAATTCTTTCAACACTTGTTCATAAATTGCACTGTTAAAACTTACCACTACTATTTCTTCTTTTTTAATTTAATGACAGAGGTGTTTCTTTGTTGGTGGAGGCTGTATCGATGGGTGATGCAGAAGCTCTATTTGAATTAGATTGTCGTTTAAGAGTTGAGGTGTGATTTTCTTTATGTAGTTTTTTTCAAGAATGACTATCCTATACCACCTACCATTCATGCATTTAATTAATCTCTCTTTTTCGAAGTTCTGTAGCATTTCTAGCTACTTGTTTAATTTGCTTGGTAAAAGATATGACTGGTCCACTGGAGTTTATATTGCACAATCAGTGTTCCATCACTTCTGAATTCATATGGGTTCATTATACTCTGTTATAATTACAAAAGTTAAGATTGAGCCAGGTGAGTGATCATATATCTCGATGTGTATGATACTTTTTTCATTAATGTTTCTTCTTTAGTTCTTTTGCTGCTTCTTACTTTTACATAGTTTTGGAGAACCATAAATATAGTGGTAAAAAGTTATGGTTTATGTTTTCTCTTTCATTTCTTTTTAAATTTTTTATATCTGTTGCTTGGTTGGATATCCAATGGATTGCGTTTATGTATGTTTTTGGCAAATATATACTCCCTCCGTCTCATTTTATGTGGCAACATTTGATCGGGCACGAAATTTAAGAAATAGATGAAGACTTTGAATGTTTACCAAATTGCCCTTCAAAAAATAATCATATTAAAATTTAAAAACAAAATATACGGATTCCTAATTTTTTTTAAAAGTACACTCATTTTCTCTCTCCTATATATTGGTGAAGGATAAAGTCAAAAAAAGATAAAAGCACAGTGACTTTTCAAATTTATGTTCCCAAAAAATTACTCATTTTCTCTTTTCTCTTTCTAAGTAGCTTATAAAACACTCTTTTTTTCTCTTATGAAGAAAATCGTCCAATCTCTGCAAACCTTTTTTTTTTTTTTTGAAAAAAAATCCTCTCTTGATTCCAAATTATTTTTAGATTTGTGGCGCCAAAATCACATTAAATTTATGGTGCGAAATCATAATTTTGTTTGAATTTTTTCAGCAAGTGCTATTAAGGGAGATGTTTTTTATATTTTCATGTCATTTTTCCCTCTGTTACCTTTGAATAATTTCTCTTGCAAGACTATTGTATTGTTTTCTTTCATCTCCTTTTTTTTTGTTTAAGATAATCATCAAATTCATGGGAGAATACTTTTCATTAAAATCATTACCTTACTAAGTGAAAGCCCCAAAATTTTAGTGAAAAAATAAGGAAGCAATGTAATGTAAAAATGCAAATCTTTTTTTCTTGGTGAAACGTTAGAAAGAACGAAGAATAACTGTGGACAAAAAAATTTAAGTACAAATTGGAAAGAGTACAAAATGCTTAGGAAAAAAAATGGAGTTAAGAATGGTATTCCAGTCATATACAACAAAAAGCTGCAACATTATTTTTATAGAAAAGAGAAATTGCAGGTTCAATTAGTTATTGATGACCTTTATAAAAAAAAATAGGAGTATTATTTTTAAAATTAAGTGGGACCAATAAGGGTAAAAGAGGAATTGTATGTTTAAATATTTGCCATATAAGGAAATGTGACATTCTTTTTGGGACTGACCAAAAAGGAAATGTTGCCACATAAAATGGGATGGAGGGAGTACTTTTTTTCCAATGCAGTTGTGGCCGGTCTTAGAGGTAAAAGATAAACAAGGAGGAGCTCTTTCTACACTCTGTTTGTTTATTATTTAACCCTGAAAATCAACTCAATAGCATTGGAAAAGAGGTACTACAAACTTTTTTTCCCAGAGATTTAATTGTACCAATTAGCATTACAAATTTTGAATAAAGGATATCTGTTACTGCCAATATTTTTAAATCCAATTCTTATAATGTGATTTTAGCTATACCCAACTTGAAATTTCTCATGCTAAATTTTTCATAAGCTACAACATATTTTCACAATCATAAAGCATGGGGCACTGGATTGTTCAGATTTACTACAAACATTTCATCACCTCATAGTGATGAGAAGAATGGAACTATTGTTTCTCTTGCCTTATAATTGACTTGTTCTGTTGTGGCAATTCTTCATTTCAATTATCTTGAAATTTACTTAGAAGCTCATCTGAGTCGACTATTTGCAATGTTACAAATAGTTAGTATAACCTTCAAAAGTAAAAGGTACACTAATAATGATGTATTGTTTAGATTTCTCCTCATTCCCTCAAAAAAACTCTTGAATTACCGTACTTGCTACATTAATTTTCATTTTTCTTTACCTTCTTGATAATGTTTTTTTTTTGAGAAAGTTGACATTTTGTAGACATCAATACACCAATGGTGTATTTCAATAGTAATTACATCAGGAGTATACAATAAGCAAAACCAAAAGATCTATCATTTATACCCCTCCTAAGCTATCTAAAAAGTGAGTAATAGCCTCCACCTCTTTGGGAGGACATGATTACACCAAAAATAAAGGGTTATAAGACAGTTCAACTTCAAACTCTAGAAAGGGATGCTCTTGTTTTCGAAGCATCTCTGGTTCCTTTCCTTCCAAATTGTCCACCAGATGCAAGCAGGGACAATCTTCCATCTCTCCTTGTGACCTGATGTATTCCCTTCTCTATTCTAGCATGCTAGAAAATCTGAGGTGTGTCTTGGCATGGACCAGCTGATTCCCCTCAAATTCAAAAAGACCTGCCACAATTTCTCTGTCACTCTGCAATGGAGGAAGAGATGGTTTTTTGTCTCTGTTTCTATTTCACAAAAAAAACACCTGGAGCATAACTGTCTTCCCCTTTTCATTAGATTGTCCTGAGTTAGTACTGCTTCCCTAGCTACCAACCAGGTGAAACAAGCCACCTTGTGAGGAACATTAATTTTCCATATCATCTTCCAAGACCACGGTAACAACATTTCAGCTGGCCTATCAAAATGTCTATAAGCTGATTTTATTGTGAACTTCCCAGTGTTGGCCCTCAACCATTGTAAACTGTCCTCCTTTGTGTCAAGGTTATTTGCCTGCTCCAAAGACTTGTAAAAATCTGCTAATTTGTCTATTTCCCAATCATTCAACCTTCTCCTAAAAGATAGGTTCCATCCTTGGTTGTCTTTGACTTCTGCTACTGTTGCTTCCTTCTGTTGGTTCAGATTATAAATCTCAGGATGCAACTGTTTCAGAGAGTGTTGTCTAACCCACACATCATTCCAGAAGAATGTCTTCCTTCCATTTCCTATATCAAGCAAGCAGGGACAATCTTCCATCTCTCCTTGTGACCTGATGTATTCCCTTCTCTATTCTAGCATGCTAGAAAATCTGAGGTGTGTCTTGGCATGGACCAGCTGATTCCCCTCAAATTCAAAAAGACCTGCCACAATTTCTCTGTCACTCTGCAATGGAGGAAGAGATGGTTTTTTGTCTCTGTTTCTATTTCACAAAAAAAACACCTGGAGCATAACTGTCTTCCCCTTTTCATTAGATTGTCCTGAGTTAGTACTGCTTCCCTAGCTACCAACCAGGTGAAACAAGCCACCTTGTGAGGAACATTAATTTTCCATATCATCTTCCAAGGCCATGGTAATAACATTTCAGCTGGTCTGTCAAAATGTCTATGAGCTGATTTTATTGTGAACTTCCCATTATTGTCCCTCAACCATGTTGTTAAAGCTTGCTTAAATCCATTAATTCTTTAAGCTCACCAAAGTTCAGGTTCTCTTTCTTTCTGTCAGGTACATGAAGTTTATATAGTTTTCTATTTTGATTGTTGATTACAGGTCCAGAGTCCTGTACTTGCTACTTCTGTAGCAATTATCTGGTCTATAACATAGGTATGAGGTGAGACTTGCTTATTCATACACCATCAAATTGTGACATGTTTGAAATATCTAAACTTGAGATTTCAGTATTCCCGAGGTAGTTCATGCAATGGCCTAAAAATGAATTCACCATTGAAAGAAAAACATCAGTTCTTACAACTCTTATCTTCTATAACATATGCATGGCTATACTTTCAATAAGTTTTAAATAGTTGAATCACATTCATAGAGACAACATGAATGTGTCTAAAACTAAATCATAGGCGAGTAATCTACTCACCTACAGAGTTTAAGCATGCGTAACACTTGGTCTTACATTTTCTTTCTGATTTTGAATTATAGAGAAACTGAATAGCACATGCTTTGAGCATTTTTTGAGTTTTCAATGATTGAAGTTTTATCAGATGCAAGGCTTATATACCTCACTTTCTAAAATTGAATTATTTTTTTGGTTGGTAATTCGAATAAGCATTTGAAATTTTTATTGGTTTTGTGCATTATATATTTTTTGGCAGTGTGTGTTGCAATTGCTAGAACATTGTTGGTCTTTCTTTTCCATTATTGGAAAAATAATATTGTACGTGCGAATCACAGTAAGTTTAGAATAGTTATCCATTTAAGCATTGAAGCAGTTGCCAGTGATTTCAATGGTAGCCGTGCTCTCTCAAGTCTAGATGTAGAAGGTTGCAGGGAAGAAAGAATGCTTAGGTTGGGTAGCTTGCCAAAATTACTTCAACAAACAAAAGACGATATCCTGATAAAGAGCCTAACAATCGCATAGGTGAATGTTTCTTGGAAGGTAGTTCATATAGTGGAATAACTTTTCAAGAAATCATCTCTGGATCTTTTTCCAATGTATAATGACAATTCATGGTTTTCTCGGTACCTTTATGATTCTGATAGACTTTCTTAAAACTGTCATTTCAACAGTGGAATATGTGCAAGATGAATCACTTGGTACGATTTTTAATGTTCATAAAAGCACGAATGAGGAATCGACATCATACTCATTTGCTACTCCAGAAAATCATGGTCTGTTGTTATTGTCTGCATCATTCTTTAACACCAACAATTCAATATTGTATGGCTTGCTTACATAGCTTATTTTTATTTATTTCAGACATCTTAGATGGACCATTATCAAATCACCACTGTAGCCACTAAGGTAATGGTAATGATGGTCTCTTCTTTAATTGATTCCTGCACATGCTTGTTTTCATCAACTGTTTTGTGTCAATTTGGTTGCAACATGTGAAACTAAAAGGAACTTAATGTGTGATCAATTATTTTTGGACATTGTTTGCATTAATTTCCGGCATCTCCATATAGTTGTTGCTTGTCAACATTGGCTTATCAAAGAAACAAAATAAGGAATTGGTAATTGGTTTATTATTAAATGATGAAAGGATCCTATATTTGTTTGAGAAAGAATTAAATTCTCGATGCATCCTTAGATTGTAGTGATGGTTTTTGACCTTTATTGACTTTGTGCCCTCCTCGAATCCCCTCTAAAGGAGTATAATTGGGTATAGTACTCATAAGTAGATTTTTTTTCACTGCTCCTTCATTTGAGTTAATAAGTTGTCTCGCTTTCTCTCTCTCACACACAAATGTTCTCTTTCTAGCACAGTATTTTTAAAATGTCCCTTTGAATTTTTATCAGTTTAATGCTTTTTATTTCAAAATGTTTAATCTCGTATTCTCTTTTTGGAATAGGGCAAGCAACTATTTGAAAAATACAAAGCAACGAAATATTTCTGGCAATGGACAATATTTGCAATACCGCTATGTGATTTATGTGTCCATGGTGCAAAGTACGAACAGTGGTAGAAATACATTTTGTTGTTTAGACTCTACACATTTGTGAATGCAATATTAGACACAAAAATGACATCAAAATTCACGTTGTTGGGCCCGTGCATAGCACAGGCAATACTTATCTAGTAATAGAAATAAATACTATATGAGGCGGTTAAGAGGTGCGTGAGGGCTACGGAGTTGGGCTGAAAATGAGGAATCTTAAGAGGGTGAGAATGACCCAGAAGCAGAGCTGTCAATATGGGCTGATCCACTCCATCCGGGTTAACCCATACAGGCTTTGAAATTTGCCAAGCCAGGCCGGGCTAGCCCATTTTTCGTGTGCGCCAGAAAATGATCGGCCCAACCCACAAGTAAGTGGGCTACGGGCTTTGCCGAGCCAGCCCTCTTTTCTTAAAAAATATATTTTTATAATTTTTAAATTAAATTATAATTCAAAAAATATTATCATAAGTATCGACAAGACCATATTACATGGTGTTAGTGTTACTACTTCTTAATCAAACAAACAAATAAAATTATCTTTATAATATTTATTAAGTTTGATTTCAAGTCAAAGCATAAATAACTAAATAGAAATATTAACCTAATTGTTTTCCAATAATCATAATAAAACACAAAAACTATGACAATATTACATAGGCTATGGCCTATGTAGTGATTCCCTAGAAATTTTAGTGAATTTTTATTTTATGTAGTACATATCTTATAAACATAATTTGTATTTAAATTGTAATATTTTAAACTTTAAACAGATTTTGAGTTTAGACTCTTGTTAATTTTAATACTCTATTTTATTTTTATTTGGCCCACGTACCGACCCTATCCATATTTCTCAAGTCCCACAAATCAACAGGCTTATTCAGGCCGGACTAAAAAACTTTTTTCTTAAATGGGCTCCAAAAATCGTAGCCCATTCCTATCAAATCACGGGTTAGCCAGACCGGCCCAACGGACCTAGCCCATATTGACGACTCTACCCAGAAGAAATAATTTTTAAATATTTGATTAATTGAATATAAAAAAATCAAAAAATATTTTTCTCCTTTCGAAAACACCCTATGTTTATAATGTTTCATAGAGTCAACTAGTAATAGTAGTAGCAGCACGATTTTACCAAAATGATGAGATGCACTATATAAAGGTTGATACTGGTACGCAATTTGATATGGAATTACCCGTTATGTTCTACTTTTATTCTTGCATAATTAATCTCGACATTACTTATACATCATATTTAATATTATTCTTAAACGTCAATGTTAAAGGTATAATTCAATTTGCTTGACATGACAATCTCTAGTAGTGACTCTAATTTTTATTTTTTATTTCTTTTTTTCTTTGTTTTGCTAATAGTCTTGTGATTAAATTATATTATTCAAGATCCAAATATTAAATAGACGATAAACCAAAGATCCAAGAAATCAGGAGAAACGTAAAGAAGGTATCCAAAAGTTGTGGAATATTTGAATGATACTTTTTTCTTTAATGGATAAACCGTTGTTGGAATAAACAAAAATGATAACAAAACATATGTTGTAGTGATTGTTGCATCCAGCACAAGTAATTAGACATTTTCGTCCAATTGCCCACTTGCATTCACGTATACACCATATAAAATATTGAGAGAAATAACTTCATCCAATTCACTCGAAATACAAAGTGGTTCACACAAGTGATAATGTATCACGTATCACTTGTGTCCCACAAATTCTCCCCCTAATCAAAACTTTCAAAGCCCATAGAACTACATTATAAATGTTGATTAAGTTAGAATGAACGAGCCTCTATTTACAGAGTCCTAACTCTTTTCCTACAAGAAAATGACTAGCCAAACATGGAAACTTTATGTTTTCCTTTTAGGGAAAGGAAAACCTATTTATGGTAAGAAACTCAGGGCAAATACGAACACTTATTAAGTTGGGCTTCAACGAAATATTTAGTTGTATGACTTTAATTTGAAATCGTTGTCATTCTATGCAAATATCTTGAATAATATTGGGAGTTTTGGACCTTGTAATATTTATATATGATGGTTTAAGACTTTAAATTTGGAGTTCTCTTGTTATTTTTAATATTTTATATTTTTGTTAATATGAGTAAAAACATATCAAACTAGATCGTCAATAATACTTGTCAGTATGCTAACGAGTAACAATTATATTGAATAGTGTAATAGTATGGATTCGAAGAGTTTTGATCAGGATCACACATTATTTTGATGTTGCTATTTGAAGAATTAGCATACTGACAAGTTTGCTTGAAATTATATGCCCCTCAGTAATATTTTTAATCATTTTCTCCAATAATAGGTGATGGAACTAAAGTTTGAATGACTATGCTACTGAGGATGGATCTATAGTGTTGGTTGCAGGTTGTAAATGATATCCTAATCTTTACCTCTTACATTTGCCTATGTCAAATCACCAAGAATTTTGAATTTTATGTGTTGGCTCATTTGCACTTTGAGCCCCTATTTCGTGCTGCTCTTCAATTATGTCCCTCTTAAAAAATTATTTTCTAACGGAACATAAATTTATATTTCCATATCATAATATCTTCCAACTTAATGTCAGACATAACTTCAACTTCTAAAGTACTTATTTTCGACTAGACTTCCTTTTTATATGACATGACAACAAAAAATATAGGAAATCATGTTTCTTGTATATAACATTGCTAAAAGGTCTGCTACAAAAGATTATGTACAAATCTTCAAAATTTCTTTATTAATCTATTACTATATAACATTAGAGATAAAGTATAGGGCTCTTTGCTAGAGTAGTACAAGGTACGACCACGATGGATATTCATGTAGTGTAGTGCTTAAGCCTAACCACCCCCATTAAGTCCAAGACCAATGGGTCCACTATCCAAGTATTACTTCATCTTCACTTAATTCAATCTATTTCCACTCTCCAAGGTCTAACATTAGAAGCATGTATAATACACCCATACTCATCCAATTGCAAGAGTGCTTCGGTATAAGGAACAAGGTATTGTAATGGAGAAAAGGATAAAATTCCACAAAGATGACAACTTTGTCACCTGTAAAATTTTAGTGACTGAAAAATATCAACCAACCCAAATCGCTTCTCAAGGACATGCCAAGATTTCTTTCCTTTTTGGGAATTCATCATGTATTTAGTAAAATAGTACACATGAAAATGAGCTTTATACAATCTAGGCAGATACACCACATAGCCTAACCTCACTTTTATATGTGTCTATTTTTCATTAGTTCTACGATAAAGTTCTTTTGTTATAGTTTGATTTTCCAGTCGTTGGATCCACTTATTAATACATCTACTACTATACACACCGCTTTTCTTTGTATTCCATCTTTGCTCCTTTACATTCATTTCATGTATCTATATCTACTACACCTGAATATACATAGACAAAATCAATTATTACTATTGGGTCCGTGCTGGCACGGGCACTACCTATCAAATAGAAACATGAAGATAAGACGACCACAACTATATATTTTTGTACCTTGTGCAACAAAAGTTGAACAGGTACCTTGTGATACTTAATTAGACATCGTATATGAGCCCAAATAGCTACAAGGATAGTCATTTTCTATTGCGCCTCTGTGATTCTCCCATCCTTCTGGAAGTGTGAACAAGTTGCTACATGTTTTTGTTGACCATTCATATGTGCTCTTCAAGCTTTTTGTTTACCTTGTTGAGATAACATATTCATGCTAAAGTCTAATAGGTGTTTCACTTCAAGGGAAATAAATATTCACCCAGGTAAGTATTTTCCTAGATAAAGGTAAAACATTTACTCTGAGATGTTAAGTCACTTGCTCACCTTAATGTTTAGCTCAACACTAGTGTTGTGAAGAATCCTGCTAGTCAGGGGCAGATCTATGAAGGGATGTGGGGGTGCCACGCCATCCCCGAACTTAGACGGAAACTCTATATATACCCTAGTATAATCATTAGAGTTAAACCCATGCTCTACAATGAAGATGATAAAATTGAATTTAAAATTCATATTAAAGAATTACTCAACTTAAAATTAATAAGAATGAGTAAAAGTCCTCATAGTAGCCCAACATTTATGGAGTTTACTGCAGTTTCTTTAGCATATCAATGGAATGTCAAGATCTGCAAGCATATTATCCTACACTCAACTACATTTCAGTTGAAAAAATTAAAGAATTTAACGTTAAGGCCACATGAGTTGATAAAAAGCTTCCTCACCTTAATAAAAAATGGATTCAAACTAGAAGAGCGTTAGGAATAAAAGCCTTATACGCTATTCTTACAAGACTTTATAAAGAAGATTGTAGAGTCATCGATCAAGACCATGACTGAGTTTTAATTACTAAAGGAAAAACTAAGTCCAAGGAACTAAAAGAAAGGATACTTGACATAGAGCTCCACAGGCTAGGAGCAACAGAAGAGACTTGAAAATTAGCATGCAAAATGCTAGATCATGATCATGTTTGATGTAGCATAAAATTGAAGACAAAAAAGATGACGTAAGCACTTACGTCATGAATTTCTTTTAGATCTGGTTTGGTATAAACTCGATCCAAATAATCAAATTCGAATAATTGAGCCGTAAAACTCGGTATCCCATTAGGAAATATTGATATTCTAGGAAACAAACTTGTGGTTCCTAAAACACCGTAAGTTTCTCCACTTTCTTCTGGAAGATTATAGATGTATCTAGTAAAAGTTAGATACTCTTCTTCCTTTGGATGTTGTTTTCCAACCTGAAAAGAAGAAAAAACTTTTGTTCCCGAAGGACCTTGGTTAGTTTTACTTTCTGGTTTTTCAGATATAATTTTTTCAGCTTTAGCTGAGGATGAGCTTGTTGCTTCATTTGCTCGACTTTTTTCCTCATCTTTTGATGTGGAAATTGGCGTATTCGTGCTTACCATCGAGATGTTTTTGGCACTAGGTGCTAGTGGGACATCTCCCGCCACTTTGTTGGGATTAATATTCCCTTTCAGATTTGAATTATGCAATGGACGTGTGTCCAGATGTTCACATAAGAGTAAAAATTCTCTCATGCTTTCAGCTTGAGTAGTACTAAGCTGATTTATTTTGGATTGTAACATCCGATATTGTTCAGATAGCTTTGATAGCTCATCTCTGATTTTGAATAGCTTTTGGCTTT